GGTGTGGTGGCGCACGCCTGTCACCCCAGCCCTCGCGAGGCTGAGGCAGGAGGGTACCTTGCCTTCAAGGCCAGCCTAGGCTACATAATGAGACCAGGACTCCAGAAACAAAAACAAAACAAAAAACCCAAACCTTGAGTCCTGCAGGACCCTCAGCAGCACCCCCTGGCCCGTGAAGTTCACGCCTCCAGGGCTGGGTTTCTGTTGTTCTTGCCGGTGGTGCTCGGGATCGAGCCCCGGGCCTCCCCGCACCACGCGCACGCCGACTCCCCAGCCCTCAGGTCTGAACGCTTTCGGCAGGATTCAGCAAATGGAAGAACTGCACAAGAACGGCCCAGAGCTCCCGCCCCGCTCTGCCCTGCTGTGTGGCGGGGTGTTTGCACTTCTTGTGACCTTTTTCTGCTATTTGCCTTTAGTGTGCGGATCGGACAGCACAAGCTCCGTTGAACTTTTTTTTTTTTTTTTTGTACTGGGGATTTAACTCAGGGCCTTGCTCGTGCCAGGCAAGTGCCCTGCCCCGGGCGTCGGCCCCAGCTCTTTTTCTCTGAGACAGGGCTTGGCTAACTTGCCGGCACTGACCTTGAGTTTGTAATCCTCCTGCTTCAGTCTCCCAGGGCGCTGGGACAGTCGGCACCCACCACCAGGCCCAGCTTGAGTTTCCTTAATTATCTCGTAGTGTCCTTCCGAGTGGCAGTTTTGTTTTTAAATTACACTCTTGAGGGCTATTGTCTCTTCAGTCTAGAACTGTTGTACCTTCTCCTCTCCTTTATTTATTTGTTTATTTATTTGGTACAGGGTTTCACTACACAGCATGGACTCATAGCAATCCTCCTGTCTCAGCCTCCTCAGCGCTGGGATTTCTTTTATTATCATTATTTGTATTTTTGGACAGGGTCTACAGGGGCTACTCTTTAGTGACCCTCCAGTTTACAGCCTCCCAAGTGCTGGGATTACGGGTGTGTACCACCAGGCCCAGTGCATTTTCCCTCTCAAGGCCCCCTGGGGGTGGGGCCGGCACGGCAGGCCCGGGGATCAAGCTCCCGGCCCCTGCATCTGCCTGAGCAGGCGCTTTAATCCGCTGAGCTTTTTGGCCAGCCTTCCAGCGCCGGGATTACCGGCGTGTGCCAACACGCAGGTTTCAGGGCTGGCCTGACGTGCAGTAGTGGGGATCAAGCTCGGGTCCTTGCACTTGCCAGGCAGGGCTTAGACTGCCAGGCCATCTTCCCAGCCCGCTGTCATTCTTAGGAACCCTGCGAGTTGGACTTTTTGATTCATCCACCTGTGGATTGTTTCTCCGTATTTCTTTGTGGTTTTTGTTCTGTTTGCATTTCCTCGCCATGTAGCCAGAGGCACCTGTGTCAGTTTGTCCCATGATTGAAGGTGTGTCTGATCTGTTGGTTAAAATGTCGACCACTGAATTTATTCACTAAAATATCCCTTTCCCGTTTTTTTGTGAATTAGAAATCATGTGTGAGGTGTTTGGTTGGTTGGGTTTTAGGCGGGGCTTTGCTGTGTAGCCCAGGCTGGCCTGGGATGCGCTGTGATCCTCCTGTCTCAGCCTCCCCAGTGTCCCAGGCCTGTTTGCTTTGGTGGGCTCACCCAGTCACCTGCAGATGCGTGAGGCCGTGTAGACGCCCCTGTGTCCAGGAGCCCAGCGTCGCCTCCTCCATCCGCTTTAAGTCTGGCCTTGAGTCAAAGCGGGAGATTTTCCGGGTGGATCTGCGTCCACCTGCAGAGCAGCTCGAGTTGGCCCTGAGGCCCAGATCACGCCTTGGCCCTGCGACACTCGCTGAGATGGCCCTGCCTGCTGACAGGCAGAGAAACAGGTTGGGGACAGGGGCCATGGTCGGCACAGGCTCAGGGGCGCCCGGTGGCTGGCCAGCCCAAGGGGTGAGGTTCAGGCAGTCCACTGGCTCCCGTGTGACACAGATTTATGCTGCAATCATAGAAACTGGGGAGAAAGTCCAACTGGTCCAAATTGAGTATTTATGCCAGGCGTGGTGGCACACACCTGTGATCCCAGCACTCGGAGGCTGAGGCGGAAGGATTGCCGTGAGCTCAAGGCCGGTCTGGGCTACCTAGTGAGGCTATCTCAGAAACTCAGCAAATAAACAGGCAGTATTTAAAGTAGTTACATGGTGACCCAGTAGATAACATTGCATATGTTAAGTGCGGTAGAATTCTGTGCTTGTTGGGGCTGGTGAGATGGCTCA